AAACACCGAGAAAAAAATATATTTATGTAGGCTGTATTCAAACGTTAAATGTAACGGTATACGTTAGGACGAGTGACGAAGAATTAACTTTATTTAGACGAATTCTCAGTAAAGCGGATAAAACCCTTTGAGCAATATTCACGTAATTTTAAGTTAAGATTTATTATAGGGAAACACAGCGTGTTAGGTGCTACGCACCATTAAACCGGAGTGATACAGTCAAGTAAAATGCAGAAACGTCCCACGCAGACGTCGGCCCAATGAACGTTTTGTCACGTAGAAAGCAATGCATTGCTATGCAACAACGTGACCGTTGCTGACACTTGGCTATGAAACACCTCCCGACGTATCCGAATTCATTCCAACACCACCTGTACTGGTTAATGTTGCAATCTCCTTAAACTTTTATATATTTCTTCATTTTTCCCCTTTTAAATTTATTTTAAAGTTACTAGTAGACTTTCAAATAAAATTAATATTAAAAAGTTAATTTAAACTTTCAAGATTTAATTAAATAGTCTTCTCTTCCTTATTAATAGCGATAATAAAAATGCCTAAGCTTCCGTGATAATAAAGTGATGTCGCTTTTCTAATGTGTATAATGACTTTACAATTTTACAATTGAAACGTATTTCGAAATTTTCCTTAATTTTAAAAATATTTAATCTATATTTTCTCATCTAATAGTTCAATAAATACTGCATTATAAGTAATAAAATTATTGCATTTAAAATGTTCTGACGATTATAATGGACTTATCTACTAATAATTCATTTTAAATTTGAGAGAAATATTGTTCTAATGAAAACAAAATAGCACAAAATAGTAATAAATTCAAAATTAATAGTAGCGATTCTAATATATCATTTTGACACGTGATATAGGCCTATTAATGAGAGTTTTATAACCATAATAGAAAAATTGAAGAATTTTTGCTACAAAACAAGGAAATAACTGCTGAATTTCACTGGTCGTTTGTCTTCATAAACGATATTTAAATACTTTCCTGAAGATTTTCATAAATCTTTAAGAGAAGTACAGTATGTGAAGATCGCTGTTGTAATAACATAAGTTTACAGATTTGCGCAAAGATTAAATGAATGAAATATATATATTTATTTAGCTTACAAAGGCTTTAAAAAATTGGTATTATTAAAATAAATTCTGTTTTGGAAAAGACGAGGGATTTTAATAATTGCACCACCAAGCTAAGGTTTTATTTACTCCGAATTAATCCCATGAAATATGCTATTCCTTATATAAATGCCGCTCGAGTTTATAAAGAAAAATTATTTAAATATTTATAAATCATTTATAAATAGAATAAAATTTGGATCTAAAAGAAATATAAAAACATTTTAAAATTTATATTAATGCGAATTTAATAGAAAATATATGATATTAAAAATATTTATTTTAATGCGTAAGGCGACCCTAGCGGTAAAAAATCAAACAATTTTAAACTAATATCGTCTGCTTTTTAAGTTTATATGAATTAATGTAGAATATAAATTCAATCATATTAATTAATTACAAGAAAATATAATAATTTTTATTGATTTAAATCTAATTTAAAATAAAAATGAAAAAAAAAATACTGCATATTCATTCAATGACAAAACAAAGTAAGACATTCTAATTTATAGTCTAATATTTAAAAAGATATAAATTAATTTAAATAATAAAATAATTTTGTATGATTTTATATATTTACATTCTTAAATTATTAAATATATATTCTTAATAAGAATATATTTATAATATGTATATAAACATCAAAGTGTGTTTATTGTAGCTAAGCCTAATTGTATAATGTAAAATAATGGAAGAAGATTTTTTTTCATGCATAGAAATGAAGAAAATACAGGTAAATTATTGATATTATACTCTAATAAATACAAATTTCAGTCTTACTTCTCTCAAACACTTTTCTTTTTATAAATATTTTATAAGATTTAAATTTTATAAAATTTAATAAGAAAATAATTGAACAGACATTAGAAAAATTTAAAAGTTTAATTACTGATTTTAATTCTTAAAAAATCACGTGAAATGACACGACAGAAACCAAAAATAACCTTTATATACACACGTTTATAAGGTTTACCTGTAAAAAGTGATAAATTAAACATAGTTTTTTTTCTAAAACTGGATTGAAAATTGAATGGCGCCCAGTTAGCGGAAAAGTACCGAATTCATTAACACTATTTAGGCGAAGTCTTTCATGAAAAATCAGAAACAACTGCTTTATCGGTGTGCACTATTTAACACTACAAAAAATTCAAGCACTTTCGGACTTTAGTCTATTCTCTGGAATTGGGGAACCGCTAATTCCCGAGAATGGACCGAATAAGTCCGAAATTACTCCAATAAAACAATTTTTTCTGATCTGTTATTAAAAATAAACTAATTTTGTTTGTTGATAATCAGTAGCACATAGAATTTTTACTTCAATAAATGAAAAATATTTTTAATTTAATAAAGTCTTATAGCTACAACAACAAGTATACTAACAATTTATAAATATTCACTTGTATAAATTGCTACTAAACACAGTAGCTTTAAAATTTTTAATTTAATATAGATTTAATAGTAAGTTCAAGATTAATTACGATGTCGTTGAAATTATATCAATTTTTTTACATATATATGGTACTAGATTTCAAAATTTTATATCATTTATTTTTTTTAAATAACTATTTGAAAAATTTTATAATCTGAATATAAAATTTAATAATTTTTTACGTATTTAAATGGCATAGCAAAAGCGATTTAAACGGAAAGTAATTAGAAAAAATAAAATTATTTACACATTTATAAGAATAAATCTATATAAACCACTTTTTCTGATACGAAAAATATATAATGGATTTGAATTAAGAATTAATTAGGTGGAATGAGATATAAAATGAATAATTTATTATATTTTAAGATAAAAATTATTTAAAATATTTTTCTGTTTGAATTATAGAATTTTTTTGGATATAACAAGATATAAATTTCAATTCTGTTCTAATCGTATAAGTGGTTTGAACTGTAATTTTAGAAAAGTCTATTTTTTCTGAAAGAACGAACAGATAAATAAAAAGTTTATCTTTATGGTTTGATTTAATAATGTAAACAATAAAGGTGTTCGATGCAAAATAACATATTAAGATAAATGAAAATGCATTTACTCAAATACATTTTACATTTAAAACTTTTTTTAATGCAGGAATAACAGTAAAAATTTTTTCAGTACATTGTAATATTAATAAATGCAATCAATTTATATCAAATTTTTAGCTTCTAAATTTATCATAAATTTTAAATTGAAATGATTTTGGAAACACGTTTAAACTTATTTTAGAATTAAACGTAGATTTTGTTTAGTATTGGCTGCTATCTTATGGAATAAAGCATGATTAGGGTCATTAATCCTGAGTATCGTTTCCGATATACTAATCTCTTTGTTTATCCTTATTTGATTTATTTTTAACTTATGTGCTGACAAATACCCTTAAATTTTTAATTTCAATATATTCAAATTTTATTTAAAAATTTCCATCTCAAAATTCTATATGCATATATAAGAAGATCTCTATATATAGTTTATGAAAATACTTTAATTTTATTAGTACCTTAAAGCATAAATTTTATCAATATTTAGCTTAATATATGAATAATATATTAATGATATGCTTTTCAAACAATAATCTCCAAAATGTATAATACGTCAATTTTTAGTATCAAAATGTATAATACGTCAATTTTTAGATCTATATTAAATGTTTTAAAATCAGATTATGATGATATTGCTTTGACATTTCGATTTTTTGGAATTAACTTGAAAGTAAAGTTTTAGTTAATTATCAGGAATAGACCCAATTGTATATTCCTACTGCCAAACATTCAAGAATGTAAATAATTGCAAAAAGTAGACAAGAGTTCGTCTACCGAAAATTATTGGTTCAGTCCAAAGTCCTTTGATAAATTTTGCTTATTTGATTGGTTGATAAAGAGCAATATATTTAATTTTTTCCGTTTCTAGTTAGTGCATTATTAATTACATATTATATAATAATATAATATATTATATAATTAATATGTAACATTACTAAAAAAAATTGTAGTGAATATTGTATCCACATCATGTAAGATATGTGTTCCTTTAAATATTTTAAATTTAAACATTTTCACTTTAAATGATCGATATTTTAGTTTAAAAATTTTGAAGCTACAATATATTTGAACTAAAATTATTTGTATAATTGAATGATTCTTATAATTGAATGATTCTTAAACTCCAGACTATACGTCATTGGATATCTCAGATATATTTTCAAGATTATTTACTTACAAGATAAACAAGGTTACTTATTAAATTAAATTGTAAGAATCAAATTTTTTTAATAGTTATCAGTTAAACATTTTTCATTAAAAACGGAATTTCGATTTTAATTAAACTCGCTATTTTTATCGAACTATCATTTTCTTTAGAAAAGTTTAATTTTTAGGTCACTATAGGGCAGGATTACCGATGACGTGAACGTTAAAGCTGTCAGGAAATTTCCAAACTTACAGTCGATTAGGATAAACATTATTTTTTTCATCAGTAAACTCTCTGAGACATTCTGATGATTCGATACATTACTCACAAATCATTAGAATGTTTTAGAGAACTTAATTTTAGACTTATTTTAGAACTAAAATATTATTTTTCATTTAAAAATCAAATTATAATATTTTTAAAATAATAATTTTGTAGGAAAAATTTCACTAGTCTTACATGAATATTAAAATCCATAATTTGTTAATGATAGTCATAAATAAAGATATGTTATCTCAAAATTGTAAATAAAACTAGAGTTATTTTCGTTTTTCTAATTTAATTCTAAAACATTTATTTCAATAAAAGAAGGTTTTAATTTTAAATAACGAATTTAAATATCCGTTAAAATTATAAACGAATTTCATAAATAATAATTTAAAAAAGGTCTATAATTTACTATTTCTTTTACCTTTATTATGTAGTATTTCTATTCTGTATTTCCTAAGAACTATGAAATGATTCAGCAGTTCTTATATATTCTAACTTTGCTTTTTTTATTCTTGATCATTGATTCAATTTATTCCATACTTGTTTTCTCTTCGGATGTATGTCGAAATTATCAATGTGTAACTAGTAAGCATAATGAATACATCTATATAACATTGGCTAAATTTTGATATATATAAATATAAATTTTTGAAAGAATTTTTTAATGTTTTATTTAAAAAAATCCAAAACGTTTGGATTTTTTAAATTTAGTTATCTTTATATTTATAGTAATTATAACATAAATACGCCTATTTTAAATCAATAATTTAAAATGGGCCTATTTGATAAAAATGAGTCTTTTCTAAAGATTAGAAAAAAAAGGAATTACATAATAATTTACAGTTTCATTGATAATTTAATTTCGAATTGTATAAAAATTATTCAGTACAATAATTAAAGAAAACAGATGTTTAGGTCAAATTTAATTAGTATAGTAAGAATGATTTCCAGTAGAATGATATTTTGTTGAAATTCATTTGGAACTTCTATTATATAATATGCCAATCAACGTTACTACGACTACTACTACTACCATTACTACGACAATTTTTTTTTTATAATTGTGAAAATTTTGGTCGTACAACTAATAGTTGATCTGATTAAATAAGTTTTAAATATCTAGATAATTATATTAATACATTATCAATTTTACTCATCAAATATAGTTAATTATCATAAGGAATTCATTTAATATTAAATAAATAAACACATTGAGTTTAATATATAAAAATTTAAAAATAAAATTTTAAAACGAAAGAATTATAAATCATATAATTTCTGTAATCCATTAAAATTTTATAAATTTTATAATTTTTTAATATTTAAGATTATTATTGAAAAAATATGAATAAAACATGTAACGTATTTTAATTTTATATTTCAAATATATGAAAATTATAAAAAGCGAAAAAAAAAGGTTCATGGACAAGTTTAACCTAAGTAGAAAGTAACCGGAGAACTGCAAGCGGCATCTTTGTTACGACCATTTTTAAACAGTCAGGTGGTTTAACTTTATTGACTTTAAAAAACACGTTGAAGAGAAATACTAAAGGATTCACTCACCTGCTACTGTTAATGTTAATTGGGAGGCTACACTAGCATTTTGAACTATTACACTGCTACCCAGAGAAGGAGCTGTGTGCACCGACTGTACAGGCAAAGACACACTTGGTCCTACTAACACCCCACTCGGAGGGTGATGCTCTTCATTCATGTTTTGTCGTCTGCTTAATGCTAACAAATGTGGGAAGTTTGATACGGGTCAAATTTCACTCCCTTGTATCTATTGTCGGCTTATGGACTTGTACCTCACGGGCTGAAGTGCGCCCAAGGAGAACCATCACCGTCAAACTTCGACTTTTACCCTTATCAAGAGCACGTGATTACTCAGGGTGGGGGCGCTAGTATCCACACTTTTAATGGCTTTTACTATAAAATTTTTTGTAACGCGATTTTATAAGAACAATACAAATACAAATCCACATTGTAAATAGAAACAACCGATGAGATTAAGGAATTTTAAAAATTTGAACAATATCTTAGAAATCAATTCATGCAAAAGTGTATAGAAATATTTCTATTCTGGCATTATCCTCTAATTATGCATATTCGATATCAGAAATTTCAAATTACTTATAAAAATTAAGTGATTAATTAATGAAATATACTTTATATAGTATACATGTAAACTGCATTATATATACACTTTGTAAAGTATGCATAGAAAAATAATGTTTTTTGTTAATATATTTTACAATTATCTGTAAATTAAAGTAAACTAATAGGAACAAGCTCTTCCTAAAAGAAATGCAAAATTTCTAGTATTCTTGCTTCAATATCTATTTATTATTTTTCGTGCATAAAAATTTTCAAAGAAACAAGTAGTACATAAAAACTATAAAAATGATTTAGAAAATGTTGCGAACTAATAAAATCATAAGATATAGTTGATTTCTGAATATCATTAAATTAAAAAATTAGTCAATTAGTAAGAAACTCATGAAATAAAACTGTAATTAACAATCACTTTTTAGTATAATGGTTTCATAAACCTTAGCCGAAGATTGATATGTTTATTTAACGTCGAAATATATTTAGAACCAAAACTCAACTAACAGTTTCATAATTTCGGACAACGAAGAGAATTACTATCTGAAATTTAGATTATTTTTGGCCCTTTAGTAAATTTAATATTTGAAATTTTAATTACTTATTTCCGTGTTTGTCTTTGTGAAAGATATGCTTAATTTCTTGAGTAGTTCGGTCACGGTTTGTTTCCTTATCACGTTTATTGACTTTTTCTGAATCAGAAATACTCATAACTGGTAAAATTACGGCTAGTTGTTTTGTCATTGTAAATGAACTAACCAAAAAGAAAACTTAAGGTGTTGATTTTTGCAATTGATATTTATTATCATGTCTTTAGTGAATGTTGTGAATAAAGTCAATTCCAAATTTTGTAATTCTTATATTTGTATCTATAATGAATATCTTTGTTTTATTATAGCATATACTTTTAAAAACGTGTAGCGCTTCTTACACATTTCAACAGATTTATAGATAGAATCCGATTTAAAAATTAAGAATAAGAAGATTAAGAAAAATATTAAGAATATTATTAATTATTAAGAAGAAATAACTTTATATTAAGAAAACTTATTCTTTGTAAGTATTATTGAAGAGATTATTTGACTTGATACACTCGAATCAAAAGAAGGATCGAATCAAGTCCGTGCATACACGAGTGATTTTGGAAGTTTAACTCCCGTTTGGGAAGAATAAAAAAAAAATTAATAAATGGTATATTGTATATAACTTATATTTATTTTGTACCCGTTCATTTCCTCCGTAGTCTACTGTATTGTGTTACTCTATATACTATATATTACTATATACTCAATACACTATAATATTAGTGTTGTAAAAATTTCTAAAATACGTTATGAAAAAAATAATGTATTTTTTAATCCCACTTTTTTTAAAAAAAAACCTGCTCACGGGCTTGCATTGAATAATAATTGCTTTATTCAACATTTTGCAATAAGTATTTATAGAATGCATGACTTGAATTTTGAAGACTTAAATTATTGCTTAAAATTTTCTCTAGTATTTTTTTAAATAATTAAATTTTACTCCGTAATATTTTATAATTGTAACTTGTCATGATAATTGCCATTAATTATTTCTTACTAAAAAGAAAATCATTGGAGTTATGAAATGCTAAATTTTGGTTTTCTAACCGAATGCCACAATTATTAGTCCCAATAACTTTTCTCATTTTAAAAATACATGTTTTTGATTATATTGTCATAAATTATATTCGCTTTCGGACGCTCTGGTCTTTTATCAAAATAAATCTATACTTATTTTCGAACTTTCATGGTAGTCGGTTTTTGTTTTTAGTTAAATAATTGGAATCATTACGCTCAATTTGAAATTGTAACTTTTTAAAATTGTAATTATGAAGCATTTGTGAATTTTATTAACATATTTTGTTTAGCTTACATGAGCTGTAACATATAAGCTAAACAAGATAATGAATTATACGTAGTATCAAACCGCTGAGGTTTCATCATTCACCAAAAATTTACTATAATGATTGCAGAAAAACTGTTTTGTTATTCTTCGAAATTCATAAGTTTGTTTTTTATTGCAAATTGAAAATTCATTATAATTTCCAATAATTGGAATTTTCGTGAAAATATAAATCATGAATTTAAAATTTTCATTATGTTTATGTGAATTGGATAAATTTGATTTTTTTTTCTCTGGTGAAATAGAAATATGAGGAACGTTGACAATAAATTGATTTCATATAGATTTTTTTTTCTTTATTATAAACAATTTAATTATAAATACATTTCTTAGTTTGAATTTATCAATATTGCTAAGGGTATTAAAAAGTTTATCAATGCTTTCAGTGTATTATAATCCATAAAATATACTATCACGACTATATAATATAAAAATTATGTTTAAAATTGTAATTATGTTAAATGTTCATCGTTAACGAATAAAGAAATACATGATATAATAAAGGTGCATCAATAAAGGGACTGTAAATGATCTTCATATGTCCATCAGGTAAAACTTAAGCGTAAAGAATATTTTAATCTGTTCCTTTCGAAGTCGTATTTTCCCTTATATTTTCTTTTCTTCTTAAGAGGGAAGCGATCCGCCATAAATACTGGGACCATAGGTAATGCATTAACATTCATCAAATTAATTACGCCTACAATCGTTCTGAAAAACTCTTATTACTCTTATTGAAGTATTACTGAAAATCTCAAGATTGAGACTCGTTCTTGGTATAAAGACATTACATTCGTCGAAAGAATGGATAAATATGAAGGACTTCTTAATTTTCATTTAAATTATAAAGTATTTTTAGAATATCATATTAAAATAGATCATCAATACTAAAAATATTTTACATGTATTGAATATCTCGATTATAATGTATAGCAAATACAATCAGTTTTTTTTACTCAAATTGCTGTTTTCAGTTGTATCTTGAAATAAACTTTAGAATAACCGAAGATTTAGAAAGCGATGAGTAAGAAAATAATATTCACGCTTCTTTTTATACAAAATTTTAAGGACGATTCACTACTATTTTGACTTAAATCTTCATAAATTATATGAAATCTACATATTCACTAAAAAAAAAAAATTCAAAATATCATATATTTATTTAAGATTTGTAAAAGGAGTCTTCTGTTAAATAAAATTCTGTTAAATATTTCTGTAAAAAAAACTATATATATATAGTTTTTTTTACAGAAAATAAAATAAATGTGTNTTCCTATTAGTATAATATATATATATATTATTTATTTATTTTTATTCTGAGTATCGCCTGTTTCATTTCATTTGGTAGTAGCACCATCTAGTAGATAGCAACTAAATTATTACCATTATTATTATTATTATTATTGTATTACCATTTATCTAAAATACTTTCGTAATTCTGAAGATGTAATCTACTTACTATATAAGTAGATTACCAGTAAACTTTGTAAATAATTTTCGCATGTAACATGTAAAGAATTCATAAATTAAAGTGAAAGTTTATGAATTCCGTACATGTTTTAAAAACTAAAATTTATTGTGATTGTAACGTGACTATAGTAAACAAAAAAAATCCCTTAATAATTTAAATATTGGTGGGCAAATGAAAATTCGGAATAACTTTCTCCATTTTTTTTTCTACACATAAGCGTGCGAAAAAAAATTGAATATTCCGACTCCTGAAGATTTTATTTTTTTTAAATCGTTTGACTTTTAAAAATGAAAGAACTAAAAGAAGACGAATGTTGAAAATTATTGAAAATTTTTATACTAGAAATTTGATAAAGGGTGAATTTTTCAATGTTAAACATTTTAAATATATAGACATTCGAAAACACACGTATATGATATAATTGAAAGAATAAAAGAGAAGAAAACACTATCTAGAGCTGAAAAAAATTGAGGAAAATGGATTAAAATGACTGAAGCAAGCGTAAGCAGCTAACCGATGCCGCTGTTGGTAACAATGGTAAGGTTTCTTCGTAAGCTGGATAGAAATTTCAAATATCCCCACTCGCATGCGTGGGATATTAAAGGAAAGGAATATTGTTATTAGGAAAAGGATTTTTGAACGCACGAACTTCTGAAAAGCAAGTAAGATTACTCCAATGACTGAACCCACTATTGGTCGACTGGATAAAATCACTGAAAATAATTGATCGCAGGTTCGCGTATGACCAACGGATTGGTTTCTTGAAGATTGCTGGGTTTTCTTTACATGTTTACCCAATAGAGATCAATTTCCTATTAAAAGTCCTCCCGGGAGAGACCACTTTGGAAAATCTTCAAGTGTTTCGTCGCCTTATTCCATTAGCCAACTAACCAATCGAAAACTGAACAAAGGTTTGTGGCCCAAAACCTGAATATTGTTACAGATGACTAGTCTTATTTCACACTAGTGTTTCTTAATGTAAGGGAAATGAAAGTTTTTACTATGAAAAAGGAAAGAATGGTACAATAGAAGTGAAGTTCAAACCTCACGCAGTTTCCGACGAAAGTTTTGATGATGGTAGCCATAAGTTATCTCGGGCAGTCTCAGACTTTTATCGTATCGTCTGAACATTGCATTAACACAGAAGTATACAGAATGCGTTAAGAAAACTAGTCCCAGTTTTGAAGAAGCATTATCCAAATGGAGATTACGTATTTTGGCCAAATATGACAACGTTCCACTATGCTCAAGACATAATTGCTGTCTTTGACCAAAATGATATCTCGTGAAAAAATGAGCCTAATGTATCCAAACTGAGAGCAATCGAACGATTTTTGTATCAGCTAAAACAAAG